GTACTAACTTCGTTGGAGCATCCAAAAAATTAGATAAGGATTTACAACAGGCTATTAAAAGCAATGTGAGTGCAGTTTGTGCATTGGAAGCAGAAGGTATAAAATGGCATTTCATTCCACCGGCAAGTCCTCATTTTGGAGGTTTATGGGAGTCGGCCGTGAAGTCAATAAAACACCACTTGAAAAGAGTTGTTGGCGAAAATAAACTTACTTATGAGGAGTTAAGCACACTTCTAACTCAAATTGAGGGCATACTTAATTCACGACCGCTTTGTGCAAATGTTGACGACAATGATATATTAACTCCAGGTCATTTTTTAATTGGGCATGCTATCATTGACTATCCAGAAGCAGTAGATGATATGAACATATCTTCATTAAATCGTTGGAAGATAATTCAAGCAATGAAGAAACATTTTTTGAAACGATTGAAGGAAGAATATTTAACGAATCTTCAGCAGAGGTACAAATGGAAAGGGGTTCAAGCAAACGTTAAGGAAGGCCAAGTGGTAATAGTGAAGAATGAGGAAACATATCCAGGAAGATGGCCTCTTGGAAAGATAATTGACGTTCATCCTGGAAAAGATAATCTGGTGAGAGTAGTATCGGTAAAAACTCAGAACGGCACAATAAAACGTCCGATTCAGAAATTATGTGTATTGGAAGGCGTACACGAACAAATACATGTTGCTGAGAATAAGAAGATAAATGTTATTAAACGAAAAGATTTGAAAAAAGAAATATCTGTTAATTTAATGTTACTTTTATTGCTAATGATTTTAATTCCATCTAGAGTAGCGTCAGAAGCAATTAAAGGAGGAAAAGTGAATGAGATAGACAAAGACACGGTGGTTTATTTGGACGAAATTGGATCTATGAACGTGGTATCATCATCATGGAAGCTGTTAATATGTTTTGATTTGGAGCCCTTTTTCGAAATAATTGATAAAGGAGGTACAACTATATTGGAAATGGAGAAATTTGTTCTAAACTACAAACATTTGAAAACCATTGTGTGGCAATTATAGAAGATATGAGACAGCAAATAAAGCAGATGCAGGACACAAATAAATATTTGCTTCAATATAAAAATCAAAGAACGAGAAGAGCGCCATTTGAGTTCATCGGGTTACTGCAGCACATATTGTTTGGCACAATGGATGCAGAAGATAGAAAAATGTTCGAAGAAGACATGATGAGATTACTAGAAAATCAGCATGATATCAAGAATCTGATAAATAAGCAAACTTCGGTAGTAGATTCTACGGTGAATTTGTTAAAAAGAACCACCACGGAGATAAATAATAATTTTAAACAAATGCAAGATAGGCTCAACCTCTTGTCGTCGGCAATGCAGGAATCATATTTGGTATATCGGGAGTCAATTAAGTTTTTCATGGTAACAAAAGAGCTGCAGGGAATAATTGAAGAAAACAGAAATGTTCAAACAGAAATAATAGAGCTTTTAATTGACATAAATCATGGGAAATTGAATCCTTCGTTGATAACTCCTACTCAACTGTATGAAGAAGTTAGAAGCATCAAAGAACATCTTACAAATAAATTAAGGCTGCCAGGAAATAGCGATAATCAGTTGCAAGTTATTTATAAGCTTTTATCGGCAATAGGAACAATAATGGATAAGAAACTAATCATAAAGGCAGAAATACCATTATTTGACACACAAGAATCAAAACTATACAAAGTAATTCCGATGCCTATGGAAAAGCATGGGATAATTTTGAGTCCAATGATACAAAAGCAGTTTCTTATATATAATTTCGAAATGGACTCATACCATTTGATGACGGAAACACAGCTCAACTTATGCAAACACGTCACAGAAGCGGAGTATGTTTGTGAAGGTAATTGGCCATGGCTAGATGCGAATGACTCGTCGTGTGAGATTTCACCATTGAAGCCTTTAAATGCTTATAAATGTACATACATTGAAGCGGAATCATCTCTATATTGGGTAAAGCTAAATAATGCAAATAATTGGTTATTTAAAACATTTAAACCAACATCAGCACATATCCAGTGTAATCAAAATCGGCAATTTATTTTAGAACTTCCACAACAGGGAAGAATATCATTGCAACCAGGATGTACAATAAGAATTGAAGGTGTTACAATAAAATCACCATTTAATATAAACTCTAATTCGAAAAAGGAAATACCAGCCACATTGACAGCGAAGATAGGGAACACTACTAGAATTCGTTTTCCACCATTAAATTTATTAATATCCAATCACACAAATGAACTGCAAGAGCTTCAGAGTCAAATCAAAGTCATAAAAGAAGAGAATATTAAATTACGTGAAATTAAATATCATCAAATAGCAAGTCATACATCTCTTTTCTTAGTAACAATTTTGATAATAGGTATAGTGATATATTTTGTAAAAAGGAAGCATACGGAACGCGCAATTGCTCGATTGGACGTTTTTAACAAGGAGAATCTCTAATATGACCAGACCAATGAACGCTAAATAATCAAACGAGATTGGAATGTAGAATTTGGCCGCTGGCAGAATGTTCAATCACGAACATGAGTTTTGACCTCCGGCAGAATGTTCAATCATGAACAGGAATTTATACCATAAATTTAATTATTATAGTTTATATCATCACCTAAATTCTTAGAATTATGTACTAAAGAAAAATATAGATAAATAGTAACATTTTTTAGCAACCGTATTTAAATTATTAAACTAAAATATATTCATAAAAACAATAGGAGGAAAATCCCAAGTGTTGGGACTTCCGTCCTTTTTTAACCTTTTTTAACCTTTTTTGACAAATGTAATACAGTCCACTAAAATCATAATAATTTAACCTTGATGTAGAAATTAGTCTTAAAATATTTTTGTATAAAAACACAACATTATTTTAAATAAAATCAGTAGCTAAAAATTACTCAAAGTGTGTGTACTTTAATTTATTAAATGTACAATGGGTTACTTCTTCAAAGATATTAAGCAAGCACTACATTTGTTAAATAAGTTTCAAAAAGTACATGTCTTATAACAAACAGTTAAGGTTTCATGGGCTTTTGTAACGACTCACTATTCTTCAACATGTCATATCCAATAATAAATTCGCATTTTCATTTTCAAACTTAAAATTTAAAATTTAAAAAAAATAACCTTGATAACCTTGTATAAAAGCTATCGTAAAAAAAATATTGATGAAAAATTTTTAATAAAGTAAATGTCCAAGAATGTGGTTTCAGTTACTCAGTCTATCTAATTTTAATGTTTAATTTTTTCTGAAACTTTTTTTTAATACAATTTCAAAAAAAAACCTCTTAACCTTTTTTACAAAACTTTATCGCTAAATATTCGAGCACTTGTGAATATTTATACATGTTAAATTCTAACAATGAACAGTTCACTTTTCATTACTTATTTTGTTAATTCTTCTTATTATTCATTAAAAAAATATACTAGAATATTATTACAACCAATATAACGATTTACTTGCGTTGCTAACAAGTCAAATATATGAGTACGTACAATGTTATAATAGTTGATTAATTAGTTAATATTCCCTCAGCTTTTTAATGTATTTAGGTTCGTAATAAGATAAAAAAAATTTTGAAGACTGAGAAATCTACTACTTATTATTTTTAATCGCGTAAGATGTGGATGTTTTGCCAAAATTCTAACAAACTACTTACATTCTGCTCAAAAAGTAATCGGATTTTGTAAATAAAACACACACATTGAAATTTTATTCCAAATTTATTTTATCTCCTTCAAAATATGCTCCTTCTGAAGCGATACACATATGCCAACGCTTAACCCAATCTTCCATACACTTTTCAAAAGCCCGTGAAGGTATGGCTTTTAGTTCCTTCGGCGAATTCTCTTTTACTCATTCAATCGACTCAAAACGCTTACCACGAAGGGGCAGAAAAAAAGTCGCACGGATCCAGATCTGGCGAATATAGTGCCTGAGCGATGACAGTGGTGCCGTGTTTGGTCAAAAAATCACGTACAACAAGAATTTTCCATAGTAAAAATCGCTAAATGCACTTGAGGTAGTTTCACAGTAATAGCTGCTGTAAACAAACTAAATGACAGATGGCGCTCAAATTTGTAACATATGTCAAGAAAGGGTCTACCAACATAACAAAGAAAATTTTTGAAAAAGATCTAATACTTACGCAGTAGTTAACAAACAACAAAATTCGGAGAAGGTAGTCGATCTTAAAGGCAGGAAATAATGTTTGCATAATGTTTATATAGTATAATAATAAGTGTGTAGTAAATTATATATAGAAATATATTGCTTACGAAAATTCAAGTGATATCATTTTAGATAATACCATTTAGCATATTTGTCTAGATAAAAAAGCTATTGTACAATTTCGTGGAAAACTAAATACAAGCAATAAAGAAAATAATAATTTCAGAAAGTTTTCAGTATTGATAAAATAAATTTATTTTGTATAATTATTAAAATTACCTTCCATGGGAACATTACTGAAAATATTAAATAATAAATAAATAAATAATCAAATGGTTTTAATTATTTTTTCTTTTATTTCACCTACTCCTACCTACTCTTTCAACTTTAAATTTATTATTTCCTTCCGATTAAATGACTCAAATACTTCTTCGCATGACAACTTATTCTCTAAATTAAACATTAATAACTTTAATAAGAAGAAAATATAATATAATTTTTATAAAGTGACTATAAAATTTTTATAATCCAATAACAGATTTTCCATGAATTCACGCATCTAACAGTTTACAAAAAATATAGATTTCATTAATTTATCATAATTTCGTAATGTATCTACTCTTTTCTAGTTGGTAAGCAATTGCTGAGTTTATTTAAAAATGCTGAAGTATGAACATAGTTACACAGTGCTCTATATAAAGCTCTGGCATTTAACCCAATGTATACATGTTCCTCACAATAGGTCAGTAGTTTACACCAAAATGGTCAAGGACATTTCTTTGAACAATTACCGTTTAATATACAGAAATAAAAAGAATAAGCAGAACAAACAAAAGAAAAAGGTTAAAAGGTTAAAAATGTGTGCGGGCATCAGAGCGTATGAGTGACTTTATGCAGCTTTACATCCGAAATCGAAGCTTAAGTGTGCAAAAATCTGTCAAAAAGGTAACAAAGCAGTTATTTGAATTTCTTCTCGATTATATGATTGCAATATCAGATAAAAAATATAAAGCATTGTACAAATATTAATTTATAATATCAGATATATGAGAACATCTGTACTGATTTTAAATTAGTTCAATTATTTATTTATATCTACTTCTTTTCCGTTTCAAATATTAGGAAATAAAAATAATAAAGAAATATTAAAATATTCTTTATCCATAAATTAAATATTATTTTATGAGGATAAAATATTTTGATTTTAATATGCTTCCAGTTATTTATATTGTGTATGTATTCATATACATATTTCACAACCAAACGGCAATAAAATTAAACAATATTTGTATAATTTGAAAAATTTCATTCATTTATTTCAATTTCAAGATGTTTAAGAAATGATTGGACATATAAAGGAATTTATATAAAACCAAACTATACCACAAAATATTTTCTTCTCAAAAGTTTAATTAATCAACAAAACAATTAAAAAAGGATTTGCTTTCATTTCAGTATTTATTAATATACTGTAGATATTCTAAAGAATAAAATTCTAAAATAATATAATCAAAATAATATAAAGCAATAATATTTAATACCAGAATGGATATGAAAGGAGCTGAAAAAACATTTATTTTCTCGAAAAAAATTTATTAAAACTCGAAATTGCTTAAATTTCATTCGTTTTGCTCAAATGATTTTATTATATTAAATATGTGTGTTTCAATTTGTCAAATATAAAAATAATGTTTATTTTATTAAAAAAATATGAAACGTTTGGAGCAAATTTATTCTGTTTGCATTTCATTCACTGGAATAAGTGTCGATGTGATTTGTGTGTGAATGTTGATTCGAGATATTGCAATTATTTTTAACGAAGCCACAATATGTGAAATATTGAAAGCGACAAGCATGAAAGTCCTAAAAATCCTTTATTTTGTGTTATTTTGTGTGTTCTCTGCACACGAAATATAACTGAAGCTCAGTATATTTGATTATTTAAGCATTAAAATATAAATTAACAGAAAAAATTTCAAATCAAAGGACGAATTCGAATGGAAATTTATAAAACGAACATCACATGAAGTATGGAATTCATCTTTTTTTCCAAAAATGTTTTTTGCAATTATGATTGACAATATCAACCAAAATTGTTTGTTAATGCATTTATTTTTATAAACTTCCATAATTATATAAATAAATCTGAAAAGTAAATAATTCGCTTTGTTCAATAGAAAATTAACATAATATATCAACATTTCTCACTACACAAAATGTATTATCCATTTCTATGGGTTATCCATTTTATGGTTCTGGAAATAAACACTTATAAACAATCTCATGATGGAGATTTTAATCAAATCAAATTATTTAACTTCATGGTTCAAATTTTACCATCTATTGTATATGTAGTCATGGTCTGCCATACCAGACTGTGATTCTTTATGGATAAAAAAACAGTATTTGAACGAGTAATTGTGGATTTTATAGAGACGGATCTTTTACTGTCAAAGATACGATGATTTTATTTATTGACACATCATCATTGAGCAAAGTTTAATGCAAAAAACGTCAAACTTACACAATTTTGACACTTTCAGCTATTATTTAGCAATCAACGTGGTGAAATGGCAAACTGTAAACTAAATATACTATAAGAAGTCTTGAGTGACATTTTTTATGACACATGTCACTACAACAGTATTGCCAAATCAAAAACACAAAAAGTATAATCCTTTATTTTTAAATATTGTATAAAAGTTTTAGTAAAGTTTTAAAGTTGAAAAATTTTTTTAAACAAAATGCTTTATCGAGATTATTAAATTTTGAATATATTTTTCTAAAAAAAACCTTAAAATTTTTCGTTAGTAGAAGTAGATTTACTACTAACCATAATAGTTACCAAAAATTAAGAAAGCTTTTCCTAACCACTTAATTTATGTTTTCTTTAATAGTTAAAATAAATAATTTTTATAAGGAACATAATCATGAGAAAAATTTACCATTATTGTCGAGTTTAAGGACCAAAATTGGTCACGCGATGGCGGTTAAATTGTAATGACTTAATTTTATTTGGTGAGGTGGTCGTATATATTGATTTTGACAAGTTGAGTGTTTATTTGGTTAACAAATTGTTTACATTGATCGATAAAATTGATGTCAGGTAACTATTATTAATGATTTTGAATTTAAATTCAATGTATAATTCAATTATTATTTTTTACATTTACACATACTGTCTAAAAAGATTATCATTTTCAAAAGACAATTATTAGGAACGTAGAAAAACAATGAAGCTACCTAAATAGGTTTCATATCAAATAAAATACTT